TGGCTGCGGGGACTCTTGACAAGGCAAGTGATTTCACATCAATTTCAGGGAATGTTATTCAACTTGGGCTAATCGTGTCTCTTATTTTATTTAGGTGGACAAAATCTCTGGCCAAATAGCGAGCAGTGCTGCTCAAAGGAACGACTTCAAGACCCGTGCTACCCGGAGGGGTTACGCAGGTCGTATGCTTAAGCGACCATGCAAGACGCAATGGAATTCTCATTATGAGAGTCGTATGATTGCTTGTGAAGCTCAAAAGGTAAGCTTCTTGATTTTATCTTTCCCTTCATTATCTCTATTCATCAGGTTCGATCCAGGTCATCAATGCAATGATAGCAGCCGACCGCAAAGCATGCTTTTTCAAAGGCGTAACTATTGCACCTTCGGAATGGCACGCAGTAGAGATTGTGAATAAGGTCTTGAAGGTAAGACTATTCCTCTCTACATGTTCTACTGGCACGTGTTGACTCTCATTTTAACTTCTTCCTATTCATTCAGACATTTGTAGAAGCTACATCCCGAGTTGAGGGAAATGGCCCTACCGGTTGTATTCTCCTAGCCGAATACAAACGAGTTATATCCAAGCTCCAACAACATCAAGTTGAATGCGCCGCCTTTGCCTCCATCGATAATGCCATCAAAGTCATGATCCGATGGTTGACTGAGTACCAACCCGAGGCTGCTGAATGCGACGCCATAGTGTTGGCAACAGTTCTAAACCCTCAATATTGAACTAAATTCTTTGAACTCCACTATCCTGAATACAACCTCTCGGCTAAATACTTGATCGAAAATACCTTCACTGAACTGTTACGAGAATCCGAGCTACAAGAGGGAACACCACCTCCTGACGAGTCCAACGATCCTGAGGAGACTAATGAATTCGATGTGTTTGGAGGCTCCAATGATGTACCAGCCAAGTCTTCCAGCTCAGAGCTGGAAGATTACTTGCAAGGCCGATATCCGATCAAGAAAGACCAAACCCCACTTGATTGGTGGAAGGTTTGTCTCATTTTTTCTCTTCTCATCCTCATTAGAAACTGACTCAGTTCTCTTCAACAGTTACATCATCAACACTTTCCTAACATCGCCAAACTCGCGTGTGATTATCTATTGGTCTCAGCTACTTCCTGCGCATGCAAGCGCACATTCTCGGCCGCTGCTGACATCTGTACTCCCTCACAAGGTAGTATGCTACCAAAAACAATGGAGAGATTGGTCGGGTGTCAAGCTTGGTTGAAGGATGGTATTATTCCTGATGGTATTTTTGAAGAAGCTGCACAAACACTCCAATTCTATATTGACAAGATGGCTAAAAAGAAGGGTAAGAAGGGATAGTTTCACTTCCAGTTTCATTGCTTTCATACAAGTCTAGTTTCAACTTTATCTCAGCTTCATTATATGTGTCTGTCCTTTTTCTTACTCGGTTCCTATAGCTTTTATAGTAGAACCACACCCACTCTCCTACCTTGCCCAGCACTAGATGCCAGGCAGGTACACATGGGTTTTGACTCAGTTTTTTTTTTGAAATACATCTGTTTCCCATTTTGTGACTACATAGCGCGCTATATAGCAACTTTATAGCGATTTGATCACTGCGCCACGTTGTGAGTTTTTTTTTTGGCGAGATAGCAGAGCCAGGTCGCCTGACCTCATAGCGCAGCCTGCACTCCACTACGGATATTGGTCAAATCCCATAGCGTGTCGTAGCGCTTCGGGTATTGCCTCCAATGTCTGTTACAGGTTGTAATCTGACAATCCTGGAGGTTTTTTGTTAGTACAATCAACGATTTTCACACTAAAAATACAAAAAAATACTCAAATCAAAGGTCTCAGCCATAGGAACAATATGCATATTTTTGTTTATTTTTGTCTCTCTTCAAGGCTACTCAATATCTCTGTTTGTTGGTTTTTATATTTTCTGCCCAGAAGATATTATATTTTGTGTAGTGTTATATGCATTGTGGTTTTAAAAATATGAAAAAATATGCCAGACGATCGGAATGCATCAAAGTGCCCTCCCATTATTTTTTCATATTTTTCTGACCCTGGCCAGCTTCTCTATAATTTTCTATGTCTACTCAATTTTCTGAACTCCATGGTAAATTTGCAATTTGGTGTAGTGTAATGAAGTTGGGACTATGGGGATGGAAACTCAGTCAATGAAGTCCAGAGTGACTCACAGTTCCACTCGGTCTAAGGCTGTTCAACCATGATTAATTTGATTTCTTAAACAGTTTCATGATCAAACAGTTTCATGTTATTTATTTCTTGGATGTTAAAATTTCTACCGGTAAATATGATATGTATGCAATACAAAAAAAGAATTCAGCTCAGTCCGTAATTGACATAGAGGCAAACACAGCCCCCATCTACTGGGCTCTGGCAGGCCAGAGCCTACCACTTACTCCATGAAAGATTCATGAAAGATTCATAAAAGATTCATGAAAGATTCAGAAAGGGTGCAACAAAGCTTCACTATGTATTCAATAAAGCTTCAATGTAACTTCAGCTGGATATACGATCCAGCACAAGTGACATGGATTCATCTCATATCAAGAAATCAATCATGGGCTCAGGTTATGTTTTTTTCTTATACAAAAGCTTATCTCAAATTAAAATAACCACATAAAAGTTGTCATGTCTAGAATATATTACAACTTCAACATACACATTTATCTCACTCCATATCCATTGCATCTTCGTCATGGCTATCTTGCACAAATCCCTACCAGTGAATATGAAAAAAATTAGTATACAGAAACGCACTGAGTCTCTTCAACCACTCACAATATTTGCTAAGCCAACAATTGAAAGTGTTGTGTTGTGGATATCAAATGTACCAGTGGGGTTCTTCATGACAACTAGCTGTCCAATTATGTCCTTGACTTGAATTACATGATATTCCTCATGTGAATCATAAACAACAGTAGCGTTCAGTAACTCCGGCAAGGAAGAGTACGGATTCTTGTGCTGGTCTTGATGACTCAGGGACTTGAGTGAATGTACAACAAGCAGTGGTGTGCGGAGGTTGTTGAGCCGGACTATTTCAGTGATACATCCAGTCCATCTTTGAGAGTTCAGGGCATACATAATGTAGCTATTCCCAGGTGTTGTCTTGTGAGTGCTGTGCGCCTTGTTAAAGATCTTGATGGATGAGGTAACATAAAATTTTGAATTGAAGGGGTGACCTGCCTCAAGATGATTGAAACGCTGGAGTGCTTGAAAGCCTGCAGGACTGAGCTTCTTGACAGTCCACCTTGACTGGCGGTTCCTTTGGAGGTAATCTCGGAGGATTGGATCCGCCTCCATGGCAGAGTGACTATTGTTAATTGTTGCTCTGAAGAATCCCCGTCTGGCGTGTTGGTGAAGTAATGTCTCACCCTGTCCTTCTGAAGTGTCAAAGACCGGAATCAGCTGATTTTAAGTGATCAACAGAGGGACAAAAAAGACTGACGGATATTTCCGTTCTTTGCTGTCTGAACCAGGCTTCCAATTATCCTCTCACCAGACCAGCTAGCAGTATAAGCTGGTGGCCCAAGCCTTGCTGAGATTTCGCCAATATGTTCTGCAAAATGCAAGTTAGGTTTTTTCTTGATATGTGGCCAGCCATCGCCAAGGGCGGTTTGATAGCCATGAACCAAATTACCAATCTTTTCACCATCGCCTTGGTGAAAACTGCGCAAAGTACATATGTTGCCAATTTGAATGAGTTGCAGCAGGCTGGCAAGGATCTTGGCTGAAGTGGTGCCAGCTTTGCCATTAAGAAAGTGAGGGACCCAAGCAAGTACAATGTAGACTTTGTATAAAGAATGCCACTCTGCTGCTTTGGGAGTCCCAGCACTTGCCATACCAAAGGTACCCTGGGGTTTGGTAAGCCAAGAGGGGGCTTGGGCGTTTTTGATGCATCGCTGGAGCAGATCGAGCTCATAAGATGTGATTTCTGGAACAATCACAGGTATTGGTAGGGGTGGAGGTGGTGATGGTGATGGGGTCCAGCTTGCTTTCTTTTTACCCTTGATTGCACCATCTGATCCAGCAGAAGAAGACCCTTGGTCGTGGAGATTGGATGCTGCTGATCGTGTTCCGTAGGAATGTTGTGATGCTGGTTTGAGCGGAGGAGCTGAAGCTGACGGGCCTGGTGGATCAGGAGTTGCAGTACTGGCTGTTGGTGGCTTAGGTAGCTGAACATTGTACATTCTTTTACTGAATTCCATTTTGTCCTTTTCAGCTTCCAGAGCCTTGCCTGCCACTGGCACTTTTAAATAATTTGTGGAAAAGTCTTTGAAGAGGCCAAGGAAGATGTTGTGCATAATATCAACAGTGTAGAATTCAACAGACTTCCAATAAGGCAGCTCATGAAGGACAGTATATCTTACTCCATTGCTGCCGGTAAGTTCATTTTGATCATCTTGTGCTTGAAGTTTTACCTCTGTTGAGGTTCGATGAGGACATTTAGGTGCTGGAAATTGGGAGTGATATATTCTGTCCGTAATTTGACAGAGTGAACAAAAGTGTCTGGAAGAGTGTGCGGTGAAGGCGGCTTTTTCATGGCTGGGACGTCCCCGTGGATGGGCCAGATGGCTGCATGAATGGTTCAGCCGACTACAGTATGTTTTGAGGTGGAACTAAAGCTGATGCCTTGCCAAAACTCTTTCATCTCTTCAACCAGAGGCTTGAGGAAGTGATTCATTTCTGTTGTGGAAGGTTCTGAGGGACCTGGAATGATCCCGTAAAGGCAGATATTCTCTCTTTTGTAACGTAAGGAAGGAGGCAAGTTGAAACAAGTGAGAAGCATGACACCAACAGAGGTCTTGACTCTAGCTTCTTTGCCGTTTGGATTGAACCAGTCACACCACAGTCCAAAAACAAGGTTCCCCGATTTTGCAGTGAAGACTGAGCCTGACTTTCGGAAGGTTTTCCATAGGCTGCCATCCCATATATCATCCATTTGGTGATTGGATGGTGGGGTGCGGTTGAGAGAGGCATCCAAGGCCGTTTCAAAAGCGGAAAACTTGAGCATCTTGCCAAGCCATGACTGGACAGACTGATAAAAAAAATAGTCTAGATGGTTTTTGAATTTGTTTACCAGAGGGTGTCTCATAAAGTGGTTGATCACAAGATTTTCGTTTTTCTTTAGATGTCTTTGAGGTGAATCGAGGATGATTGCACAGTTGATTCATGTTGATTTGGTCTATTGGTAGTACAGGATGCAGAGCACAGCAGAATGGACAACAGATTTTGCTCTGTATGGTGGTATTGAGGTCGAATGTCTTTAAAAGTGTTGGGATCGTGCGAGGGATTTGGGTCCAAGGTGTTGTCTTGATGTTGGGATCCAACTGTTTGAGGTGCTCTTCTACACTATCCCGCGCGGTTCGAAGGCTTTGCCGGCAGGCATCTACACTAAGATTGTTGAAAAGGTGGTTCTTGGTGACCTTGAACATTTCTCGTAAACACATGGGGTGCTGTAAAAAGATTTCTGGGAGTGAAGGTGTGTTACTTGTATATGTGAGCTGTGTTCTTGAGGCCTTGGGTGCCGGAGGAACTGTGTTGCCCAAATCTGAGTCGTCACTATCTCTATCCTCGTCCAATTCTTCTCTAGCTCTTTTGTTGGGGCGGGTGGCGGCAACCGCCCCACCAATGGGGGGTAGTATTGCTGTACTCGTAGAGGCTTGAGCTGATGCTAAGTTTGGAAGCTGATATCAAGTCGCAAGTCAGACAACTTGAAAACACATAGGGGGAGAATTGCACTCACATAGGACAACTGAGGTGCATAAATCCCTGATGAAGTACTGGCCATGGGTTGAACAACTGCAGGGGCTGAAGAATCACTGGGTGTGGGTTGACCTACCACAGGAGGTGCGGAAGTGCTGGGCGTCAGTTGAACAACCGCACTAGCTACGTTGGTGGCTGCACCAACCGCTTCAGGTTGCGCTGAAGGGTTACGTTGGAGGTGTCCAGGATATGATTGGCGGCTGAATATTTTGCCTTGATAGACCTTTCCTCTGTATTGAATGGTCTTTTGATTGCATCCCAATTCTGGGCAACTGCAGAGGAACTGGTTGCGGTCCAAAGCAACAGCATGATGTCCTAAAGTGATGGGCATTGATGATGGTCTGGATGTGAGAAATATCTGATCGTTGGATAAATGCTGAGTGTCCAGATTCAGACTGGGAAATGGGATATCACAAGACTAAGTCCTCACAACCACAGTGCCATGTAGGTGACATGTGGTGGTATGTGTGAGACACTAGTAGGTGGGCTAGGTTAGGGTTCATTGATCTTACATGTTATATTTTTGGAAGCCTGGAAGGGGCAGGAAACCTTGTACCTTGAATTGATCTTACATGTTATATTTTCAGAAGCCTAGAAGTGGCAGGAAACCTTGTACCTTGAAAGTAGCTAGCAAAGCAACTGGGATTTTGAGGGATAAAAGTGAACCAGGTTAAGTCTCACCTGGACATAAAATGGTGAGAGTGATCAAGTGAGGTTTGAAATGGTTCACAATACTAGAACCAACAGTGTTTGTTTTAGTTTATATCTGTTTGGTTCATGCTTTGCAATCAGGGTAATTGCATGATTTATAAAAAACTTGAAACCCAAATTGGGTATGGGTATCCAAACCTAAAAACATGCTGTTAGGGTTGATTATATACAGATCCATATTCAACAGCCTTTTTATTGGGTCAACAATATGCCACAAGTTCAGAAGACCAAATATTTGAAGTTTGGCTGGTTGTATCTCTTTCTTCTGTCATCTCACTTTTTTGTGTATGAAAGTATTTCACCACCTGAATTTTTCAGAAGCTTCTTAAAAAAGGCGGCACCCCCAGTGTGAGATATGGCGGTTAAAATCACTCCGTCATGAGTGATTTGTCACGATGCCATCAAAATTCTTTTATAGTACCACAAACTCAGTTCAAGCCTCACTTGTGAACCAAGAATCCAAAAGGGGTATAGGCATGCCTTCCAAAAAAGGCTGCACCCCAGTGTGAGATTTAAATGTGAAATTCACTCTGTCATAAGTCATTCTTGATGATACCATCAACATTCTTTTCTAGTACTGTGAACTCAGTTCAAGCCTCACCTGAAGGCTTGAGCTGGTTCACAGTACTAGGAAAGAATGCCAATGATATCACAAAAAAAAAATGATGGCATTAAAATTCACAGGCAGGCAGGGAAACATGAGGTAGAACAACAAGAGACAAATAGAACAATAGAATTTATTCAAATCCCTAACCTTACACTTGAGATTTGGAAACAAGAGAACCTTTTGGTAAAACAAGATACAAGCAGAACAATATTTATTCAAATCCCTACCCTTACACTTGGGTTTGGAAAACAAGAAAACTTTTTTTTGATTGAAGGATGGTACATTTTGAGTTAAGAGGAAGGAACTTTCCCCGGGGTGAAATAAATCCAGCACATGAAAATTATAATTCAAGAGAACAAAATACATCATAAGGTTATTATTTTTTTTTGTTAGGATCTTTGGCAACTTGAATGTCAGGTAGGTCAAACAGAGGGTCTCTATAAATCTCACCGCCAGAGAATTTAGTCCTATTCACACAAAAATTATAAAGGTCTACTTCCAGTGCTTTGGCAAGCTGGAACTTGGACACTTCATGCCCATCCCAACCAACATCATTGAGGTTGGAGGGATCAAAACCTGTGGGGAAGAAGATATTTTCAATGGTTTCCAGGATGTACTTCTGGGTATATTTCCAGATTGGTTCGTCAATGGGTCCTTGCCCATTCATCTGGTTAACTAGAACCAGGAAATGAGAGAGTTTCACGGATCCGAATTGTGCTTTGTCGTGCGGGAAGATCATGAGACCCTTTACAGCAGAGACCAAAAAAGCCACCAGCGGTCCAAGAACATGTGATGCCATGGAGCCTGTACCCAGGGTGTGGGTCATTGCCTCGTAATCTGAGAGGAGCTTGTTGTGTCTGTCAGTTGGTGTTAGACTGAGATACAATGCATGATGAAATTTTGCTTGCAGACTGGCAACTGCTTCAAAGACCGTGTACAGGCGATTGACCATCCCAGTCATGACTTCCATACACTCTGCAGCACATTGAGTTTGTTGCTTAGTCTCGTGAAGGTTTTTGAAGTGATGAGCAGCTTGAAGACACTGCCCAATGTCTTGGTTCGGGTATTCAACTTCAGGAGGAGTGTAGTCCACGGGAAGTTCATTGGTGTCCATCCGGGCAAATGTCACAGCAGCAACTATCATCCGCACTGCCTGATTGATACGCTTTGTACCTGGACTGTAGAACAAACTCAGAATCTCGTGAACGTAGGTGGTTTGAACTTTGTCATCTGTGGTAGTTGGCAGTTCGTAGTTGGGTGACGTGAAGTTGAAAATGTCGTGGCGATACCACGGCGCTTCGCCAGCACTACGCACGAGGAAGGAGTCTGAAAAGAATGAGGTTAGCATCAGGTGCCAATGGTAAAAATAGAAATAAAAAACTCACTGGGGTTTCTGGAAAGCCAGGCACGAACTGATAACTTGTTTTTCACCCCAAAAGGCTCTGCTTCCTGGATGGGGGGCTTAGCAGGCACGTCAATGCCTTCTTTGCGCCGAAGGAGAAGGTTGATCATCGCTCTGTAAACCTGGGGTACGTCTTGTGGCAAAAGTTTGTTGGCACCAATCGAAGCCGAAGTGACATCGAAGAGAGGTGACTGGGCCATCATCCACAGGCCAGTAGGAGCAGCTTTCTGCACCGAATCAGGTACCTGATCCTGATGGCCTTGATTGGTCATCAATTCCCTACTCGATGAACCCGAAGGGCCAGGATCTGTGTCATCTTCAGAATTACCGGGTGAAGGGGAGACCTTAGTTCTCTTCGGAGGCGTAGTGACTTGCGAGTCAGCGTCAATACGCCTTTTGATGGGAATGCGAGTGGAAGTTGCCTGAGAACCTGACTGTTGGGCTGAGGTTGACTGTTCGACAAGCTGAGGGTCAAGTGGAGCCAGTTGAGGAGGCTTGACCTTCCGTTTGAGCAGGGTAACAACACCTCTCAACTTTGCTTCGACCGCCTCGTCGCAGTGATCATCCCACCCCCGGAAAGCTCGTACACGGACGAGCCAATGTCAAAAGAGGCCATCAATACCGTAACGTCCTTGGTGAAGGGTTCGAGGGAGAACATCAGCACCTATCCATGCATTCAAATAGTCATCTACTTGATCCCAGAGTTCGTGGTCCTGGTAGGGCTCCTTTGGGAGGAAAGAATGCCGGAAGAACCCGTGGAATTTGCTTTCCGGTTGGGCAACTGGTATAGTAGAATGCTTGGCTACTGTCTCAATCTCAGAAAGGACCTCTTCCAAAGAGTCAGGGAAGGGTTTGGGATAATTGGGCTGAGAGTTGGTAGGGGCTGAATTGGGTATTGGGGTGGAAGGCACCTGAGATTCCACACGACTGGGGATTGAGCGAGGCCGCCGAGTATGATTGGGCTGGGAGTTGGTAAGGGGGGGATTGGGTATAGGGGTGGAAGGCACCTGAGATTCCACACGAGTAGAGGTTGAGCAAGTGTGAGGTTGGAGTTGATTTGCCGGAATTGGGGGAACAGGGGTTGGAACAGCTTGAGGTATGGCAGAGATTCGAGGCTCCAAAGGAGGAATCGGGGGGCCTGGGGTGACAATAGCCTGAGGTATCAAAGGGATTCGAGGGTCCAAAGGAGGTGCTGGTGGCGAACTAGGAGTGTTACCTGAAGGCTCTTTCCCTGTGGAAGCAATGAAAAAAGTGGGGAAAGATCATATATGATCATACGTTAGTTGTTTGATCATCCAAAAATCAAGTTATTCAAAGAGAAACTTACCAGAGGGTATCATAGAACCAACATTACTTTTTTCTACAGCTGGGTTAACGGAGGTGCATGACATAAATAGAAAAATTATGTGGGTCGGCTGATTGATCAATCAATGACTAGGATAAAGAAATCTATAACGTACTGGGAGTCTTTCGAGAAGTGGTTTGAGTTGGATTTCCTTCTTCGCCTGGATCCTTTCCAGTAACTTCTTGCTCTAGACATACAGCAGTTTCTATGGAGTTTCATGACATAAATAGAAATGACATGTGGGTCAGTTGATTGATAAATTGAAAACAATGATAAAGAGCCCAAAGACATACCTGGAAGCGTTTGGGAAGTGGTTTCAGTGAGATTTCCTTGGACTGGTTCCTCATCAGGTTCATTGACCGTGTCTTCATCCGGAGCAGGATTAGGAGAATCGGCATTTGAACTTGAAGGATTGGCTTCGACTTGAACCTCATTGGCATCAGTACCCGTGTCTTCTTTGGTTTTGGTGGGATTTCCAGGGACTGGATCCTCATAAACATCATTGACCGTCTCTTCATGGGAAGCAGGATTAGGAGCATTTCCGTGTTCAGGGGTACCTGGTAGAACCGCCTCTTTCAGGAGAGTGAGAGCACCTTGTAACTTGACTTGGAGAGGTCCATCGCAGGCATTATCCCACCCACGGAGAGTTCGCGCCCGCACTAGCCAGTGCCAAAACAACCCGTCGATACCGTAATGTCCTCGGCGAAGGGTTTGAGGGAGAACATCTCTACCAATGCGTGCGTTCAAGTAGGGGTCAACCTGATCCCACATTTCGTCCGCTTCGTAAGGCTCGTCCGGGAAGAATGATCCGCGGAAAAAGCCGTGGAACTCGCCTTCAGGTTCACCGGCAGGTATGCTTGAGGGGAGCTGAGCTATGGTCTCAATTTGAGAGAGTACCTCTTCCAACGACGCGGGCATCGGGTTGAGGATAGGTGCTGGGTCCTCCGCTAGAGGTTCATCAACTAGAGGTTGTTCGAAGTCGATGATGGGGTCCAGAGGTGTTGGAGAGGCTGGAGCAGGTGCCGGGGGTTCTGGGCCCAAAGGTGGTGTTGGCGAACGGCGAATTTCCGGTTGAACGATTGCAAAGGGCACCACTGACAATTTCAATAATTTGAGAATGGCTTCGTAGCGATCCATCATTGCCATAGTGTCCGAGGTTGTCCAGCGGGGATCTCTTCTGACCCCGGCGAACCAAGAGAAGAGGAGCTGATAGGCATTCATCCCACTACGCAAGAATTCACGGCGGAATCTTGCCGGTGGGAAGGCGGTATCCCACGCCTCAGTGACATAATCAACTAGTGGGGTGTCGAGTGGCTGGTTGACAGGTGGACGCTCGAAAGGGGTACTGAAGAATTCGTAGAAAGGATCTGAATCATCCTCTACCATGACCGGGATAGACGAAGGTTGTCTACTATATTCAACGATGTTGTTAGCCACCTTTGAGAACAGCGCATTGACATTGGCGGCCGAGGTTGCTGGATTGGGAGTGTATACCAGAGGAGGAGAGGGAGATTTTGTTGCTTGAGCAATTGGGGAACGTCTGCGTGAGGGTGGTCGGTAGTCGGAGGATCCGGAAGCAACCCTGGAGAGCTCACCCCTCCTCTTGGCGTCGCGAGGTAATTTGGGTCGTGGCTCGGGGGTCTTCAACGCGGCAACCTTGCGAGACTTGGCAGCAGATGGCCCAGAGGAAGGATTACCGCGGTCGTTTGTCGCGTCAGGAAGAGTACGGCGTTGTTCTTTAGACGAACTGGCAGAGGGCACAGGTGACGCAGCACGTCGCTTGCCCAGAGCATTGGCTGTGGGCCTCGGAGGGAGCATTACCTGGACCAACGAGTCAGGATCATTTTCAAAAGTGCCATTGCGAAGGCCTGTGTAAGAAAAAACAAGAATAAGAACACTTATAGTCAAAAGTATGGAGTTGAAATTCAATCTTACGGAACAGCTCGTCTTCAACTCGTTTGCCAGCCGCTTGAAGTGTGTCGTATAGTGACAATGTAAGCTTGTCAGACCCAAGTTGCGTGGTGAACCATGCAAGTTGCTGGATTAGTGTGCCTTCGTAAGCTTGCACCGTGACCCACACAACCTCTCCCTTCAGCCTATCTGCTTGGCTGTCTCGTAAAGCAGGAGTTTGATGTTGAGATACATTATCTGTGAATGAAACAATGTCAGCTTGAGATAGGTGTTAAGAGAGAAGATGGAAAGATGTGTGAAGCCGTTCTGTCTGACTCACTAGATTGAGGTTGAGGCGTAGTCTTCGTGAGCGATGAACTTTCCTCGTCGGAATCTGAATGTCGAGAGCTCGAGCTGGAGCTAGCCAAGGATCGTCCGGACATCGAAAGGGGTATGAAAGGCAGAACCAAAAGGAATTGTTACCAAAGGGTACCTCGAAAACTTGAGCCTGTCGTACCAGAGATAATGGTTAGCATCAAGCTGAGAAAGTCTCATGATCTGATTGAAGTTGGTTAGAGACTTACTTGGGTGTTTTCAGCAATTAGATAGAGACAAACTGGCCAATTGATGTTGTTCAATTTGGAAGCGTGGGAGTGGAAAGTGAAAGTGATTGACAGTAATCGCAATCCGGAGGGTCGAGGTATAGTTGAGTTGAGAGGCGTGAGAACGTGTATAATTGAGTTGAGAGGCGTGAGAGTGATCGACGTGATCGACGTGGTTCAATTCAAGTGTGTGAAGATGAGACACGTTTCAAGCAATGAGTATATATATGAGGGATCCCAGGGTCTTGGGTTCCTGCTGGCCCCGGGTATTCGAGGCCAGCAGGAGGCCTCCTGCATACCTTCATCACGTGATTTCCATGACATGTGTATGTAAGATTACATAGTATGTGTAAGTGTAAGTCATCCCAGGGTCTCAGGTTCCTGCTGGCCCCGGGTATTCGAGGCCAGCAGGAGGCCTCCTGCATACCTTCATCACGTGATGTCCGTGACCTGTGTATGTAGGATTACGTAGCATGTGTATGTGTAAGTCATCCTGGGGTATCAGGTTTCTGCAAAGCCCCGGGTATTCGAGGCCAGCAGGAGGCCTCCTGCATACCTTCATCACGTGATCAAGGTTGATACATGTGTATGTAGGAACACATAGTATGTGTATGTGTAAGTCATCCCGGGGTTTCTAGTTCTCGCAAAGCCCCGGGTATTTGAGGCCAGCAGGAGGCCTCCTGCATACCTTCATCACGTGTTTCCTGTGACATGTGTATGTAGGATTGTGTAATATACTAGGGTCTCAGGTTCCTGCTGGCCCCGGTTATTCGAGGCCAGCAGGAGGCCTCCTGCATACCTTCATCACGTGATATTTGTGACCTGTGTATGTAGGATTACGTAGCATGTGTATGTGTTGGTCATCCCGGGGTCTCGGGTTTCTGCAAAGCCCCGGGTATTCGAGGCCAGCAGGAGGCCTCCTGCATACCTACATCATGTGATATCCGTGACATGTGTATGTAGTATGCATCATGTTGAGGCCCGTGGGAGGCTTGGTGCATACCTCTGTCACGTGATTACTACAGAATATGTATGTACCAGTACTCCGGGACCAGGCGCAATCATTCCGTGGCCAGCAGGAGGCCTCCTGGGAAAGCTATGTTAAGTCTAGTAGTGACATACACCCTTCACTGCAACCCACGCGGAGCAGATTATTCACAAAGCCAGCTTGTACAAGACACGGGTTAAATGTAATATTTCCTATTCATCAATGTAGCACATACAGATCTTCATGTTGTGGCATGTGAATCAAACAAATTTGACTCTCACTAAATCATATTATCAACCCTGACAGTATCTCTCAACCAACTTCAGTTAGTATCAGTTTGTTTGGCTACAGAGGTGGGTAAGCTGCCTCCCTTTGACTGGCACTACTGCCTTTGTCATCTTCAATCACAAAGGGAGTTTCTCATATATAACCTGTGCCCTCTTGGCTGACTCACCCAGCCACTTTCATCCTCTTTAAATTATTTTTCCATCATCAAAAGACCTCCACCACTGATTCATCAATATAATTCCCAATACACCCATACAATCATGAGCTCAGGAGAAGGTCAGCAGTACTGGTCTTTTCCAACTTGACAAATGACAATGGCTGACTTGTGGTTGATGTATATTTAAAACTTATTTCCTTCTCTCACGCTCATTTCTGGTACCTACTTTCTCATGATTCTTCTCATGAACTCAAATGTCCCCCATCTTTATAATCAAATTTGGGATGCTGTCATGACCTCAATACCTGGGATTTTTCACCTGTTGCTCTGGCTTGTCTTTTTCATATACATATCTCTGTCTCTTCCCTGGTACCGTCCAAATATACATATACATATCTTTCAATGGGTCCTTTTTTCCTTACTTTCTTATTGAATCCCAAACTCAATTCTTTCTCCGTCTGCCTTCAATCATTCCTATCTGACTTGGCTCTCATTGTTTGTGTATTTCTGTTCACTTTGACTTCTACCTTTTCCATCTGACATTTCTCACAATCATCCCTGCTTCATTTCCATGTCCCATCTCTCTTTTGGTGCATTTTTTTTCTGATTGCATCCCCTCCCTCCCACCTGCTTGATGATGATGATCATCTTACCACTGCCCAGCAGGCGCCCCAGCAGGACCTGCACCCAGGGATCCACTGATGGATTGTCTTCATGGTTTGTTTTTGACCCACCTATCTATATATATTTGACAAGAGGGTGGTCAATAACATGTTCATTATTTCATTCAGGCCATCAGACAGAAGATGAAGGCTTGACTTTTGAGCAAACAGCTGCAGCCAAGTATCAGAGGATGCAGGACGGGCAGAGGAAGGCTGCTGACAGACAGCAAAAGGCTGAAGAATCACGCTTAAGAAAATCACCCAAAACTGAAGCTCCGCCAGGCCTCACTGCAGCTATTCATGAGTGGTCCAGGGCACTACTGGGCCTCCCCCGCCAGTCCACTTCCCCCTCCTCCTCTCAAGTTGATGTCAGTCAAATCACCAAGCACCACCTGCCAGCACCAGCCAAAATTACTGAAGTGGAAGCCTGGAATTCTCACAACAAGAATTGTGAGGATTTTATAGAGTACGAAATCAAACAAAAGATGGCTCAGAAGCTTGCCACCAACCCTAAAGCATCCAATACTTACAAAGCAGAGCTCAAGAAAATAGTCACCAAGGAGGTAGTTGCGGAATGGGCCAACAGGGCCCCTAAAAAAGGATTCATGTCCAGGGTTGCTCTTGCCACTACTTCTGTGCAGAGTTATGAACCAAGTAGATTATCTCTAGCAGAAGCTTCTCTGGCGGCTGCCGGATTCCCACGTTTGACGCTCCAATGGAATAATACTATCAACACTCCTTGGAACTCGGCTGTACTCAACTGTCTTCTGGCGGCTTGGCTAGAGTGTTATAATGCCAGAGGAGTCCCTGACTACTATGATATCCCACAGTCTGACGAAACCCCCAAGCTGGCCAAAGAAATCCTCACCAAGTGGCTAAGTGGCAAGCGTGCCAAATATAGTCAGGAGGAAAACGACAAGGCACTCATAGCAACCCCGGGCGGAGCTGAAAAATATGCTAAGAAGGTGGTTGAATCTAAGGACAGGAAAGCTATGAAGGCCTTAAGGACAAAAGTAATGATTTCGGCTGCTTCTCTGATTCTGACTGAACTGAGAACTGACCAATGAAAACCTTAGGTTGCTCAATCACGCTTACAAGCCATTTTGAAACACATCAAAGGCTTCACGGACACCCATCAACTACTCCTAGTAATGGACGAAGTGCATTCAGACACTGAGACGGTCCCTGCAACCCCAGCAAAGCCCGCACATCAACCTCGGATCAAGCTAGCTTGGAGAAAGCCAGAGCTGGATCAACTGATTCACCTTGCTGACGAAATGGCCAGAAAGAACCCAGACTCAACAAAGGCCCAGAAGACCAATGCGGCCAAGTTTCAGGCAGCCAGGGCTGAATACTCACCTGCTGCTATCAATCCGGAAGACCAACTCACACCACAGCAATTTCCCAAGTGCTTAATTAGAGAAGAATTTCTGAATCAACTTGGGGAGCTGGAAGTTGAGGGCCTGGAGTTGTCTGAGAAGCACATTGAGCTCCAAACCCTCAATGAGCATTTGATGAGAAAGGTTGGAAACAAGTACGCAATGGCAGTTGCCTCATAGGAATTTCCAAAGGTTATTCATTGAATCATATCAATTATTATCAAAAAAATCTATTTTCTTTCAAGGTTTTGTGAAGGGTATTTTATAGAATCATCTCAATCATTATCAAATTATATTTCTCTTTTTTTTACTTGTATATTGGAAAAATCTCAGGAGGTGCAAAATGCTGAAAAAAAATCATCTCTTCCTTTGGTGTTGGACAAAAATATATACAAAATATCATATCCTGTTTTATATTGAGTGTTTACTTGTTTCATATGTTTATTGGGTGTTGGGCTTAAATCTGTTCAATTTTTTTTATTGATTTTTTTATATATATTTTTTGTTGTTGAATCAAACGGTATCATAAGTTGAACAAAAAGACCTGTAAAAATGTCATTCCTTTCTTGTGCTTATGTCAAAAAAAGTCAGAAACTGAAACATATTTCTCATGTATGTCAAGACCTTGCCCATCCATGCTTACCGCACCAAGTGGTTTTGACTTGTCCCCTAGTACATCTGCACAATATTTGAATCACATCTGAACTAGAACCACTGGATTCATCAAGGACACAAAGTGGGGTCAGAAGCCTGACACTTGATGTTTTTGAGAGTGTCACAGCTTGGAAATGTCCTCAACAAGTGCAGAAGCCTTTGGAAGAAGCAGGAAAGTACGGGTAGAGGTATAAATGTGTCTCAGGCTGCACTCCTCTTTCCTGGCCTCCTCCTTCTTAACCATCACTTTCTCTTGTTTCATCAACATCACCTCAGATCATTCTCCATCAAATCAAACAAGGACAAATTGTAATCTTGTGTATCAACACACATTTAAATGGGTAGGACCTCTTCAGTTCTTCTGGTTCAAAAGCTGCAAACTCATGACTCCACTTTACAATCTCAGCATCTCCCACTCATAAACGCTCAAGTGGTTGGGTGAATGGAGCACCACCAAAGAGCCGCAAAGCAAAGAACAAGGCTCTGAGCGCTCACCTCCCGGGTCATAACCAGCCAATCTGTAAATCATATTCTGAATTTGCGAGATTTATACTTGGATACACCAAAACACACCAAGTTTATCCTGATTCACCTGGCGATGATCAACTTATGAATCTTCCAACTCTGACTATGGAAATGATCTTACAAGATACCTCAGTCTTCACCACCTATAATGCTTCAGCCCATTCAGTTAAATCTGATTGGTCACCGTTCAAGACTCTGCTGCTCAAAGACCTGGCCAATCATCAAATAGATGATAATTTCACCTTTGAATGGGAAGCGGACAACGGTGAAAAAAGTACATGGAATCAGACAATGATTTTTTTTACTGTAAAGCATTGGAAGTTTGCCAAAGCTGCTTCTGCTTTTGAGAATTTTGGACTGGATCAAGACAACCCTACTGACCTTGTCCAAGTTGGGATCATGACTCGCTGGGTGATTGGGCGGATTGAAGAAATCAAGAGAAGATTTCAAGATCCATCCAAGGTTGAAAAAAGGACCCGGAGCAAAAAGAGAAGAGATGTAAGTCATGTTTATGCCTTTAGGCATTCTCCAGTCCTTTTCTGATAATATGTCTACTCAGCTCTGGAAATACCGTAAAGCCACTCTTCAGCAACATTTTCCGCAATTTCTTGACCTCCTACCCAATGCAGACTGCTGTTCTGATACAGAAGACGACCCACATCGACCCATCCAGAAGTTGATTTGTCCGGCATGGCGTAGCGTCAAGTATGGCAACTGGCTACATGAAGTGGACCGGCTATCCTATCAAGATCAATCCACTATCAAGCTGAGGATTCATCCCTCCCGCAGATTAGATACTAGGCGTCAAGAAGGCCATACAGTCAACCCCTTTGGAACTGTCTGTGCTAACCTTCCAGAAAACTGTTATGAAAGTGCTTTCTTGAAGCACTATGACCCCCTTGAAAAACTGGCCCTGGGGATATCACCCAGCTCTGCAAAACTTGATGATGCTCTGACTGCAATTGCTACACTTCTTCCCAATTGACTTCATATTAATTCAGGCTGCGTATTTTATCTATGATGTCATTATACAAGAACACACCACTGGTTCTTATGTGTCAGGTCTTTTCACCAAGTATAACTAATTTGAGAAGAATGTATGGCTAGGGGTTAGGGTTTGTGACTCATATGACCACCATAAGCATATGTGCACATACCACAAGTTGGCCGCTGCAACTGTTTGCCTTATATACCATGTCTGATTTGACCCCACAGTCTCCTGTTCCTCAGTTTCCTCTTTCATAATCACTTTGCCATGTGCATCTCCAAACTCCACATATGGCACCATCCATGGGTTCTACTTATCTTTTATCACCTCTTTGCTCATCAAACACTGATCAAGGACTTGATCCATCCATGGACCTTCCTGTGTAATATTTATTACCGGAAATGCAGTCTGTTTTGGCGCGTCAAAAAAACAAATCCAGGTCTTGTCAGATGATCTTCAATGATTCTGATAAGAACTTGTTTTGGTTTTTCGACACGTCTGGAACAGACTGCAGTTCCGCTAATAGGTAAGATGCTGAAGGGTCCATGAAAGACACAAGTGCTTGATCAGAGTTTGATGGTTGACAAGGTGATAAGGCATCATCAGAACCCATTCCTTTTTTCCTCCCCTTGGTTTTTTGCCTCTCTCTCTACTTCAATTTTCAAGGGGAAATTCAGCTTGTAGAATGAAAAATGTGTCAGGACTTTTGACCGTTCAACTCACTTGTGAGCAATGTTATTCACCTGTTGGCTCAGGTGGTTGAATTGAGTGACAAAACATGTCTTTGTTGACCAAATACGTGTTTGTCACTCAACTCAATCACCTCAGTCAACAGGTCAATAACTTTCCTCACAAGTTAGTTGAGTGAACAAAAATCGCAATGATACGTGCTTCATCAGAGTGTTCATCAAACTCTTGCTTGAGTGATTATACTCCTATTATCCGGGGAACCTGTCCCCTGTTTTTGGAAGGATGAAGATGCACCACCAACTTGCCGTGCAGCAAGAATAACAAGCGGGATCTGTCCGTGAAACAAACTTCACAACGCGACAGATTCCGCTTGTTATTCTTGCTGCACAGTAATTAAGCTGGTGGTGCATCTTCAACTTTCCAAAAACATGGGATAGGTTTTTCTGATAATGAGAGTATAATCATTTGAGTTTTGTAATTCAAATTGTACTCCCCCTTTGTGCCTTGACTTTCTTTCTAAATCAATTTTCATGGAAAACTTCTGCTTTTAGAACACAAAGGGTGTCAGGTCTTTTAATCAACTTTAAATCATTTTTGAGAAAAGTCATTGACCTGTTGACTGAGGTGATTGAGTTGAGTGACAAAAACGTATTTGGTCACCAGAGACCTGTTATGTCACACAATTCAGACACTATAGCTAACACGTGAATAACATTGCTCACAAGTGAGTAGAACGGTCGCAAGTCCTGACACATTTTTCCAAATTCATAGAAAAAT